ATGTGTGTGTGTTCATTATGTGTGTGTGTTCATTATGTGTGTTCATTATGTGTGTGTGTGTTCATTATGTGTGTGTGTTCATTATGTGTGTGTGTGTGTGTGTGTTCATTCATCCACAATTGAGCTAACTTATTTCCACACCCCAAACAAGGCTGACACACCTGTAAATAAGTTAAAACAGTTCCCCACAGATGCAAAGCCGTGACAGCAGACTTATAAATAAATCCACCAACAAAGCGACAACCAAGAAAAAAAAAAAAGTCACAGCTTCTCTCTTGCTCAGTTTGTCCTTTTGCTTTCTCTTACTACAGCTTGAGAGGCAATGTTCTTCAGCGGTGGCTTCAGACAAACCCTATGCAATAAAAACACCACCAAACCTCCTGGACCCAGGGAAAGCACAGACAAAGCGACGATGCTGTGCCCTACCCAGGGCACAAGGATATTTCCTAGCGGGGAGCCACCCGGAGTAAAGACATGTATGGCCATTTTAGGAGCATCCACCAACATCAGAGATGAAGAGGGGTAAACACATGTATCATCCTATGGGCTACTCACTTCAATTTGGCTACCAGAGACTTAGAATTGAGGGAGTGTGACTCTCACTATACTGCATTTTAATATGTATGTATGTATATATATACAGGTATAATACAATTTTGGTGAACAAAGTTGCAGGTTTTCACATGGCAGACAGAGGCACTGAGTTAAGGGTTCTACTCTCCCCTCAGACATGCTTAGTAAATTCAAGTTTCTGCTATATTGTTTTGTCTTCCCAAATTTCCATCATGCAGCCATTTTGTTTCCATCCTCAGAGGAATTATTCACATTCTATGTACACATTCATCGCAGGCTTTTTCTCACAATAGCAGATTCATGTAACAAGGACAAAGCGCAAAGAGACTTGGAAATCAAGATCTAGAAAATATTGAAGTCACTGATGCTTTGTGATGACTGGATTAAATATTCAAAGCAGCTAATGAAATATCCAGAATCCCACCCCTTCCATATTTGTAACACAGGCAAACGGCATGTAGACAGAAAAACTGAACCCACACATGTTGGTTAAGAATTACACCATCATAGGTTAGCGCCACAGCGGGTGTCAAAGGCATTGGGCTGACTATAAAGGACAGAAAACTCACAAAAAAGGGAATCAGAAAGTAGCTTTTCAAAGTGAACCAGATTGTTGGCCTTGACAATAGAAGCTGGTATAGAAAAGGGAAAGTGCCATGGTATTAATGGAAAACTGGGTGCCAGATGGGCTAACCACTGCACAAAATCAATTTGTTCTACATGAGAACCACTGAGCCCACCCCAGCCCCATTTCAGCTTGCAAACGGCGAGCAGATACACATATTATCTCCGTATCTTCTGAAAGTGGAATTTTGCTTGTTAAAGCCAGGCATTCTCATTGAGTACAGCTGCATGGAGAGGGAACCATTGAGAAGTCCAAAGGGTTCGAGAAAAGATTAAGATTTCCCACAAGTGAGATTCATGCTTCCAGACCATGCAAAGAAGGGTACCCTACTACGGCGCTGTCACCTTAAGGGAAAGAGGCGCTGCTGCGCAAAGGTATCTGCAATTGCTTTTCTCCCAGTACTGGGCACGGTGTCCATCTACGGATAAAGAAATGATCTAGACACAGGAAGCACTTTGGTGCTCGGCTCAAGGGGCCAGCACCTGTGCCTTGGGAGAGGGCACGGACCCGAGAGACACTGCAGAGGGTGGAGCACTCAAGAGAGGGTGCAGGCAGGGTCCACTGGCTGGGAAGTGTCAGGGAAGGAGAATACGCTCCTTGGTCTGTTTTGTTTCCTTTGGGATCTGTTTTGGGGGTCATTTCCTTTCCTGAGGTTGGAGGTCACAGTCAGGAAGGATAGCTAGGACAGGGGCCCTGGAGCTCCCCAGCTACCTTGTTCATTGGTGACATTCTGCTTGCCTTTTTTGTGGCTTTAAAGGCAGTGAGGTGCAACAGTGACAGATTTCTTTCTGCCACTTTGATGAATGACCTTGCTAGCTGTTGGCCTGGACTCTGACGTACATTTCTATGTCTTTCAGCAATGAGAATAAGACAAAGGGGCCATTTATGACCATGCCTCTGTACAAACAGGAGTCAGTCGGTGAGTCCACTAAGGAGACAAGGTCACCCGCTTGGCTCTATTTCCTGGGTTCCCGAGACAGTGACAATTGCACTGTTTCCTTTCTGCAGTGTTGGGGACTGAGCCCAGGGCCTCCTACATGCTAGGCAAGAACTCTACCATGGAGCTACACTCCAGTATTTGGATTGTAAGGAAGGAGTAGGAGAATGATAGTATTTTCCAAAACCTGGTGATCGGCAGCCCCTTCCAGGGATGTCTGGGTGTTACTAAGAATAAACTGGGTGGGGAGGATTCTCTTTTGCAAGGTTCAGACACCAGACATTTTGACAGAGGTTAATCCCAGGTAACTTAGTCCACCCTGAGCTTCCTCAAGTGGGACACTGTCAATGAATTCTATTTAGTTCATTGAAATTTCTGAGAATTGTAATGGATGATGGCAGCTCACAGGTCAAGCTTTGTTGGTACCTGAAGAGAGGATGTTTGTCTCACCTGGGGCTCTTGTTTCCAGAACACTCCACATTATATCAGCTAAGGTCACAGTCATCCAGGCAAGTCTAAAGATTTGAGAGGCCACCAGGGTACAAAAGGGGAAATTACTAAGAGATGGGAACAGAGGGATCTTTATTCAATTCTGTGAAAAGGTATAAAGAAGTCATCGTTAATTGCACTTGGAGCCTCTAGAAGTTGGTCATTAAAATTTTCAAAAATTTAAGGAGTTGATTAGGCTCCAAATCCTGAGTCAGACTAATCAAAACAGGAATATTGATAATAACTGGAATTCAAGTATTGGTGGTCAGCAGTCCATAATTTAACAATTAGGCATGTGACACCTGAGAATATTTTTTTCTTTCTTTTTTTTTTTCTTTTTGTTGTTGTTGTTGAGAATTTCAGGTTTGATAGGAGGAAATTGATTTCATTATTTTACCACATCTTACAAAAAAAACCAAAAAACCAAAATCCTGGCTTCATGTTTTTCCTTCTGTTGACCTGTTTATCACTGAAGCCCATATCAAACCAAGGCCCCCAAGGCAAGGCTTCCTTCCTGGCCCACATATGAAACTATACATGGTTCTGTGGGTTTTTTGTTGGATTGTTTTTGAGACAGGGTCTCATATAACCCAGGCTGGCCTCAAACTCTATATAACTGAGGTTGACCCTGAACTTCTGATCCTCTTGTCTAGCTAACCATGCCAGGGATCGAACCTAGGGCTTCATGCTGCTAAGTTCTGTCCTCAGCCCCTCCTGGTTCTTTTGTTTGTTTTTTGTTTTTTTTCCCTAGTCTTACATCTCATATTCACTATGATGCTGTGTGGCACACGCAGGGATTCTTGCTATCAGTGAAATTATTTAACCACATGCACACTCTGAGATCAAAGAACACATCTGAGTGACTGAGTGACGAGGCAGGTCTTTTCCTCTATCAGAGGACTCTTTAAAAAAAAAAAAAAGCCTCAACTGAAAATATAAAACCCAATGGGATGTTCACATGAAGTTACTCTGATTTGGGCCGATATGGCTTTTCAGAAGAGTGGACACCAGGTAAATTCAGGGTGGTTTTTTTCTCGGGATCCGGAAGTGTGAGGGTCTCCGGAGCAGATTTTTTCCGGGGCCGGTCTTTGGGAATGGACAGAAATTCTGGCGCATCTGTGGAGAGAGGGGTGGACGGGGCGCTGGACGGGGCGCTGCGCACGGAGGAAGGCAGCAGAGCGATGCTGGAGATGGAAATGGCGGGTGGGAAAACGCCGATTTTCTTGTTGGTGGCTTCCTGAGTGGCTCGTTCGAATTCTCGTACTTCATCCATTGTCATGTCTTCAAGGGAAAAGGGAGAGAATAACAAACAGTTACCATTCAGACGTGCAAATGGGGTCATTGCTAAGTCTGGGGACTCTACCACAGAGGGGACCCCTACCCTTCACGAACCCAAATTGTCTTTGAAATACTAAACCCTCATTTTTTTTTTCCTGTCTCTGTTACTTGAGACACATCTCTGAAAACAATATTTTTTGTTTTGGACATCAAGCCAACATTTTCCAAAGGACTCTTCAATCGGTATTTAGAAATTAATTACTGAAATACATTTTCTGTATCTATTTGCTGTGTGACCGTGGATGTGTGTGTGGTGGGGTGCATGAGTGGAGGTTGGAGGACGATTTTCAGGAGTCAGTTCTTCCGACATTGGGTCCTGAGCTCATCGGACTGAACTCAGGTTGTCCAGGCTTGGCAGCCGTAACTACCTTTACTCAGTGAACCATCTCATCAGCCCAATTAGTACACTGCAGAAATGTGTGTGTGTGTGTGTGTGTGTGTGTGTGTGTGTACATGAGCACACACGCACCTCTGGGCACACAAGCCAGAAGAGGGAATCATTACTTTTGCCTATTCCCTTGAGGCAGGGTCTTTCCCAGAAGCTGAGGCTCACATCTTCTGTCCCCCATCATCCTATTTCTACCCGCCACCCGCTGAGCTAGAGCCGTAGGCTTTGTGGAGCGCCTGGATTATTACCTGGATGCTGGGATCCGAATTCCAGTCCTCACTCTCACTCACTCATTACAAGAACTCCTAATTGCTGAGCCGTCTCTCCGGCTACTTCGATTAGTATTTTAAGTATTCTGAATTAGGATTTAATGAGGGAGTGTAGAACCAGATCCAGTAAACGTGTGCAAGGTGTGTGTGGCCGTTGTGGGTCCATGGGGCTTTTATTAGACTGGGTCACATCCTCCATACAAAGGTCATTAAAGCAATCAGTGGCCTTGACAACATTACTCTCAAGTTCAGACCCTCCCAGCATTGTATCCTCAGAACATAGTTTTTGTACCCCAAAGGCCACAGGGTTGTTATTGCTATTCAGCAATAAATGCTGATAATTACTCCCCAAAAAGGAAAATAAGATCACCCAAGGCAGTTTGAAAGAAAGAAGAAAGAGAATGAAAAGAGAGAATTATTTAAAGATCGAGGCTTTATTTAAAGGGGAAAAAGAACATCGTTGGATATTCAGCAGGTAAGTCAACAACGCCTGTGCACTAGGCATCAGGTTTTCAAACACAGGCTTGAAAGTTTTACTGAGAGGGACTGGAGAGACGGCTCAGCAATTAAGAGCACATACTGCTCTTCCAGAGGACCAGAGTTCAATTCCCAGCACTGACACCGGATGGCTCACAACCGCCTGTACCTAGTATTGGGGGAGGGCATGTGGCAGTCAAAGGACAACTTTTGGGAGCTGGTTCTTGCCTTCTACCCTGTGGGTCCCAGGGATCACACTCAGGTCACTGGGCAGGTAGCAAGTACCTTTACTCACTGGGACATTTTGTGGGCCCTTGTTATTGTTATTATAAATTGCTGTCAGTCTGGCTATTCCTGGAATCCTTTGGTGCTTTTCACTTACTGGGAGCAGAGAAAATGGGTACCTGGGAATATCAAAAACAAGCCTGGAGTGAAGGCCTTGCCTTGGAGCAGAGTGGGGCCCATAAGCTCTCTTTATCTACTTTGGCTCACATAGGTCCATGTTTCATTCTTCCTGCCCCCCAGGGGTTCAGACTTCCTGAAACACACACCTCAACAGCACTTAGAAACATCAAAACAACAAAACCTTTTTCTTTTTTAGTGTTTAGAGACAGGGTTTCTCTATATAGTCCCAGTGGTCCTAGAACTCGTGGTGTAGACCAGGCTGGCTTCAAACTTAGAGATGGGCCTGCCTCTGCCTTCCAAGTACTGGGATTAAAAGCCTGTGCCACCATGCCTGGCTCAAAAAACATTTTCCATGAAATGAAATCTGTAACCATTTCCTTATGAAATTATTAAAATTTTCTGAAAGGGAAATGTTTTCACAAAGGTTAAAAATTTACAACTGTGTTGACATAATGCAAAAATTATATTATTTTAAGACAAATTATACCTATAAACTTACCACTTTTAAATGAATAAATGAGATTAAGTTCTTTAAAAGCAGCGTTTGCTTGGAAATGAAGTTGGGACTTTACAAAAAAATTCAGTGAACCAGGATATATCTTGACTCTTATAAATGGATAGCAATTTTGAAAAATTGCTTGGTTAACAAGTGGCCGAAAACAGTGTGATAGTGGATATGTCCAGCAGGGGGCAGAAACTACACAGAGTACAGAATTTTTTTTTTTTAAACTCAGAATATCTTCCTTGGAGGCTTTGAAACCTTTCAATTGTCTATGAGCCTTTTTTTTTTTTTTTTTAATTGCTGTGTCCATGGATGCTAATTTTGCTTACTTCCAACTTAACTTTTCCATGTTCAGGGTGGAAATTTAAATTTCCTTTTAGCAGCCAGGAAGGTTATTGTTTTTCGATTTTAGATGGGCCCGTGGGTACCTTAGGCTGTCCTCTGACTCACTGTGGGGCTGAGGATGACTTTGGATTTCTGATCCTCCTGCTTCTTCCTCCCCAGTGCTGAGTTTGCGGGTGTGGGATGCCAGCCCTGGTTTACGCAGTGCTGAGGATGGAGCCCAGGGTTTTGTGCCCGACTGGCGCTCTGCCAACTGAGCTACATCCCTAGCCCTCATGTGGTTTTATTACTATTTATAAATTAAAAAAAAAAACTTTTATTTTTAAACTTTAGGGTGTGTGTGTGTGTGTGAGCGTGTGTGTGAGCGTGTGTGTGTGTGTGTGTGTGTGTGTGTGTGTGTGTGTGCGCGCGCGCGCGCGCGCGCATGTGAAGGTCCAAGAGCAACTTTGTGGAGTCGTTTCTCTTTCCACAGTTACATGGGTTCTGGCAATCCAACTCAGATCACTAGGCTTGTATGGCAAGGGCCTTTCCCTGCTGAGCACCTCGCTGGCCCGTCCATGCAGTCTCATCTGTGGTGCACACAGCTTCTCACTGTAACCATCTTTTCATTATGATCGAAAATTAAGATTGTGAAAAATAGATGATATCCGATTTCACGAGATTCCAAAGACGACCATTATGCTGAAATCGTGGCAACAATGGGCGGTTTGTAGAGAATATGTGGGATTTTCAGGAAGACGGGGGGTGGGGGTGGGGGGGTGTCATTCTGGATTATCATCTTTCCCTGCACAGTAAACTGGCTTAATGCTAAGAAGGATGAAATAAAACAGAAAGAAGACATGCAAAGGCCTTAAGCTGTAAGCTCCCCCCACCCCCATCCTGAGAGAGCATCTCACATCATAGCACAGGCTGGCCTCCAACTCAAGGCAATCCTCCTGCCTCAGCTCTCAGCCACCATGCCTGGCTTACATCCTGGAAATAGCTGTACTCAGTGACCTTCAAGCATTCCCTGTCCCTCCCTCCCCTGTAGCTTTCTTTGTCTGGTCCTGTTTACAGCGAGCAACTCTCAGAGCCGTTGACGGGCACTGTGTTTGACATTCCTAAGAGAAAAGGTAATCAAAAGTAATGGAAAATGCAGGGACAGTTTCCTTAAAGAACATCCCTATCTTAGAACAGGAAAAGGAGTGGTGGGAGGCATCTGATCAAACTCGGAGCAAACCTTCAGCAACTCTTGCTCTAACATTTTCCTGCGAGACCCAATCAGAGCATGCAGTAGGGGGAAGGCAGAGCTGGGGCACTCTCAGGCTCACGGGCGGTCACATGCATCCAGTGCCGTGCACTAGCCTGGCAAGGCACAGTCAAAAGACATGCTTTAAACATTTCCAAAATGTTACCGAAGGTCTTCGTCATTCTAAAGCCTCTGTTACAACAGCCACCTCTGTCACAACATTCACCTCTCAAGTTCTGTAATTATATTCTCATTTCTTTTTTTTAAAAAAAGATTTGCCACTTATCTATCTATCTATCTATCTATTTATTTATTTATTTATTTATTTATTTATTTAGTGTGTGCATGTGTGCATGCACGCAGTGCCTGCTGAGGACAGAAGAGGGCATTGGATACTCTGGACCTGGAGGTACAGGCAGTTGTGAACCACTAGGCATGAGTGCTAGGAACTGAACCAGGGTCCTCTTCGAGAGCACCAAATGCTCTGAGATGTCTCTCTAGAGCAGTGGTTCTCAACCTTCCTGATGCTGCGACCCTTTAATACAGTTCCTCCTGTTGTAGTGATCCCAACCATAAAATTATTTTTGTTTCTACTTCATAACTGTAGTGCTGATACTGTTATGAATCATAATGTAAATATCTGTATTTTTTTTTTTTAATGATCTTAGGCAGCCCTGTGAAAGGGTTATTCAACTCTCAAAGGGGTTGTGACCCACAGGTTGAGAAACATTGCTCTAGATACTACATTCTCATTTCTTAAAAAACAAAAGTACCAGCCATGTAATAACTACGTTCTTGATTGTTAATGCATCTCATATATGTTATCTCAGGGCCTGGGCATGGCAGACACAGAACTCAAGATGTTCTCAGAGATCACAGCTCAGGCTGAGACCCATGATTTAGTGATTAATCCTTTGTCATCTCTACCTCCTTTTCATCAGCTTGACTGGCTGAGAGATAACTATATTTAAATTCTGGTATATACCATGTAGTCAGCTCTCAGTAACCCATGGCTGTCAATAACTTAGGGCTCTCGAAGGCCTTTGTTAAGTCCCAGACCAGATGTACAATACAGCATTTCTAAATCCTGGCTCATCACCCCTCCACCTTGTGGCATGTGTGTGTGTGTGTGTGTGTGTGTGTGTGTGTGTGTGTGTGTGTGCATGGACTGCAGTTTAGTCTTGAGATCAGCCTAGATTAAAAGGAACTGATTGAGGAAAGCAGCCTGAAAGAGTTGTAGAAAGCCTTCTGAAACCTAAGTAGCCTAAAGCGGCGATGATCGAAGCCCTCCATGGAACTCGAGTGTTACCTATGCCTTCGAGAGTTTGGCAT